TATATGTATATGTATATGTATATGTATATGTATATGTATATGTATATGTATATGTATATGTATATGTGTATGTGTTTGTGTTTGTGTTTGTGTGTATGTATGTATGTATGTATGTATGTATGTATGTATGTATATATATATATAAATATATATCCGTGCACGAGGTCTGGGTGCCAGGGGCCCGGGGCACGGGGGGGCATGGGAGGACTGGGGTTCCCAGACCGCTCCCAGAGCACCCCAGAGCGGCCCTGGAGCTCCCAGACTGTCCCAGAGAGCTCCCAGAAGCCTTCGACAAGCCTCTTCAAGACAGCCCAGATAGCCCCAATGTGGCCCCAGATGGGTTCCAGACATGAAATACACAGCCCAAGAGGCCTCCAAGAGGCCTCAGGAGACCTCCGAGAGGCGTCCCGAGAGAGCCCGAAGAGGCCCAAATCCTTGATTGTCATTGTCTTGTTTCTACGTTTTTTCCGTGTCTCGCGTTTTCAACCTTCCGACGCCCGACGACGCCCCCAAGACCGCCCCAAGACCGCCGAAGAGGCCCCCGAGAGAGCCCCGAGACGGCACCATGGAGACCGACAATTGCCTAGGAGGAGCCCCGGACGGCCCAAGAGGTCCCCAGGACAGACCCAAGCTGGGCCCCAGAGCGGGAGCGGGAGGCCCCAAGGCGCTCCAGGACGGCCCTGATGGCCCCAACGTGGCCGCAGATGGGCCCAACACGACCAATCTACAGCCGAAGAGCCCTCGAAAAGGCACCAGGAGAGCTCCGAGAGGCGTCCCGAGAAAGCCCGAAGAGGCCCACAGCCTTGATTTCCAGCTGTTGCTTCTAATGTTTTTCGCTTTCTCGCGTTCTCGAGCTTCCAACGCTCGATAACGGCAGAAGACGCTCCGAAGATAGCCCCGAGACCGCCGAAGAGACCCCAAAGAGAGCTCCACGACGGCCCAGGAGAGCCTGAAGACTGCCCCAGAGCAGCCCAAGACTGCCCAAGAGAGCCCCAGGACAGGCCCAAGCTGAGCCACAGCGGCAGCGGGAGGCCCACGAGGCCAAGAGGCCTCCAAGAAGGCTCCAAAGAGCTCCGAGAGACGCCCCCGAGAGAGTCCAAAGAGGCCCAAATCATTGATCTGCACTGGCTTCTGTTATGTTTTTCGCTTTCTCGCGTTCTCGAGCTTCAATGCTCGAAGACGGCAGAAGACGCCCCCAAGACCGCCCCAAGACCGCCGAAGAGGCACGAAAAGACCCCCAAGACGGCCCCAGGGAGCCCGACAATTGCCCTGGAGGAGTCCCAGACGGCCCAAGAGAGCCCCAGGACAGGCCAAAGCTGGGCCACAGAGCGGCAGCGGGAGACCCCGAGGCGCTCCAAGACGGCTCGGATGGCTTGGGCCTCCTTTTCCGTCCCTCCTTTCCTCCCGCCCCCTCCCCTTGCCTCCATTCCCTCCTCTCTCGTCTTCCTCCCGTCGATGGCATGGGCCCGAGAACGCTAGAAATCGTCGTTGTGACTACACCAGGGCTTACGACGGCACCCGTGCGCCATCTGCGACTAGAATTAGACCGCACGCGTAGGGCGCGCGAAGTTCTGTATTCTAGATATAATTATATTTATGCATGCACAGGTATTGGTGTGTATACATACGTATATCGGTACATGCATGTATCTACGCACATAAATAGACACAGCCTCATACACATTTAATATCGTATATGCATATACCGCGCCTTTCTTTCCGCGCGCGCCGTGCCCGCCGCCCCTGCAGCGCATATGCCCTCGGGCCCTGCTGTGCGAGCCTCCCTTTCCCGTCTTTCCTCCCCCTATGGCGCACCCGAAGGACCCGCCTCCTTCCCCCGATGTTGTTCAGGGAGGGCAAATGCACACAGACTCAATGAATCGTCGAATCCATAGAAAATATGGGAAAATATAGGAAGTGGGGGGGGAACGACGAACATCCATAACATCAAAGAAAATTTCGGGAATCCTGATAGTTGTGTCTATTTCGATGTGTGTCCCAGGGCCCCTCTAGTTCCCCACATCCTGAGTGGGGTTCTTGTTTTCCCAGAACATCCTCTCCTCCTCCTCCTCCTCCTCCTCCTCCTCCTCCTCCCGCTTCCTCCACCATCCCATACTGTATCATACCATACCAATACCATGCCACTCCATACCATACCTTACCATACCATACCATGCATCCACCATCCCATACCATACCATGCCTTTCCTCACACCATGTTATTTATCAGGTTTCGTGCCCCTCCCACCCCTCCAGGGAGGCCCCGCCTGAGCGAGCAGGGTATTCGCACACCATGTTATTTATCAGGTTTCGTGCCCCTCCCACCCCTCCAGGGAGGCCCCGCCTGAGCGAGGAGGGTATTCGCACCATACTATTATCAGGTTTCGTGCCCCTCCCACCTCTCCAGGGAGGCCCCGCCTGAGCGAGCAGGGTATTCGAACACCATGGTATTTATCAGGTTTCGTGCCCCTCCCACCCCTCTCGCAGGGACCCCTCCAGGGAGGCCCCGCCTGAGCGAGCAGGGTATTCGCACACCATATATTTATCAGGTTTCGTGCCCCTCCCACCCCTCCAGGGAGGCCCCGCCTGAGCGGGCAGGGTATCGCACACCATATTATTTATCAGGTTTCGTGCCCCTCCCACCCCTCCAGGGAGGCCCCGCCTGAGCGAGGCAGGGTATTCGCACACCATATATTTATCATGGTTTCGTGCCCCTCCCACCCCTCCAGGGGGCCCCGCCTGAGCGAGGCAGGGTATTCGCACACCATGTTATTTATCAGGTTTCGTGCCCCTCCCACCCCTCCAGGGAGGCCCCGCCTGAGCGAGCAGGGTATTCGCACACCATGCTATTTATCAGGTTTCGTGCCCCTCCCACCCCTCCAGGGAGGCCCCGCCTGAGCGAGGAGGGTATCGGAATACCATACTATTTACATGGTTTCGTTCCCCTCCCACCCCTCCAGTGAGGCCCCGCCTGAGCGAGGAGGGTATCGGAATACCATACTATTTACATGGTTTCGTGCCCCTCCCACCCCATCCAGGGAGGCCCCGCCTGAGCGAGGAGGGTATCGGAATACCATACTATTTACATGGTTTCGTGCCCCTCCCACCCCTCCAGGGAGGCCCCGCCTGAGCGAGGAGGGTATCGGAATACCATACTATTTACATGGTTTCGTGCCCCTCCCACCACTCCAGGGAGGCCCCGCCTGAGCGAGGAGGGTATCGGAATACCATACTATTTACATGGTTTCGTGCCCCTCCCACCCCTCCAGGGAGGCCCCGCCTGAGCGAGGAGGGTATCGGAATACCATACTATTTACATGGTTTCGTGCCCCTCCCACCCCTCCAGGGAGGCCCCGCCTGAGCGAGGAGGGTATCGGAATTCCATACTATTTACAGGGTTTCGTGCCACTCCCACCCCTCCAGGGAGGCCCCGCC